TATTATTTTAAAAATTTTTAAAAAGCATTTGTCATAGGTCAGTTTGGGGTATTAATGAATAGCTATAGTTTAAATACATAGTAAAGTGTTTCATATTATGTAAAAAGAATGTAAGTCTTTTCTTTCTGTCAGTCTCATGTATGTTTCCCATTAGTTTCTCCCACATACTAAAATCCTATGATAGTTACAGTCATTGCTTAATCCCCTGGAATGTGCCAGGCATTGTACAAGATTTTGGATAATCAAAGAAAGATGAAGCATGGACACTGTCCTTTAGAAGTTTGTAATTTAGAGGTAGCCATGATTACAGTATATTAAGTGTGACAGCAGAGGTTAGGAACAAACAGTAGAGTTTGAGCACAGGTGAAGGAAGCCCAAGATGAGTCGGAGGAGAGTAAATTTGGCTGGATTCTGAAGAATCAGTAGTGGGTTTCCAGGTACCTATGGTGTGGAAGGACATTGAAGACAGAGGTTATGGCTTGTGGAAAGGCATAAGGTCATTGAAATATGTTGTCTGTTGGAGAAAGAATAGGGTCTTCTGAGGCTGGGTCACAGGTGAATATGAGAGGAAAAGAAGGTAGAACCCAGAACTGAAAGTTTTAATATGTCTTGCAGCAAGTTTTACTTAATCCTGTAGATAAGAGGGAACATCACATGTTTTTAAAGTAACAGTGACTAGAGAAAACTCCTTTGCAGTGAGGTGTTTTTTGTTGTTGTTGTTGTTTTTTGGGTTTTTTTTTTTGTTTTTTGAGACAGAGTCTTGCTCTGTCGCCCAGGCTGGAGTGCAGTGGTGCAATCTCAGCTCACTGCAAGCTCCACCTCCCGGGTTCTCCTGCCTCAGCCTCCCAAGTAGCTGGGACTACAGGCCACCCTACCACCACGCCTGGCTAATTTTTTGTATTTTTAGTAGAGATGGGGTTTCACCATGTTAGCCAGGATGGTCTCGATCTCCTGACCTCGTGATCTGCCTGCCTCGGCCTCCCAAAGTGCTGGGATTATAGGCAGTGAGTTATTTTTTAAGCAAGTTGGACATCAGGAATAGGAAGAAACAAAGGGAGAAAACCCAGTTTTGTATATCAAGGAAGGAACGATGAAAGCTAAACTAATTTGGTAAACAGCTTAAACAGAGATTTTAAGGTAGAATCTATAGGACATGTATGAATGGAGAAAATCAAAGATGAATCTGAAGTTACTAGACTGGGTGATACAGAAATTGAAGTCATTTTTCTCTTTTGGCATGGGTTTATTCAGAGCCAATGCCATGTGCATATCTAAAGCCATATCTCTATATGGTATGGATTACTTAACAGTGTAGGCAAGGTTAAAAATTTAGACATGAAAAAAATTAGGCATGCTGGTAAATTCATGATAAAGTACTAAAGGAGTTCACCAGTTTGAAACTATGATCACACAGACTCACGGAGTGTTAGCATTGGGAAGTCTTTCATGATCATCTATTGTGTTGGCATTTTCAAAGGAATTTTAAAAATAAATTATAGTAAATAATCTATAAACATTTTTGTCAAAGGAATCAGAAAGAGAACATCTAATTCTTTTTTAATATTATTATACTTTAAGTTCTGGGGTACATGTGTGGAACATACAGGTTTGTTACATAGGTATACATGTGTCATGGTGGTTGGCTGCACCCATCAACCCGTCATCTAGGTTTTAAGCCCTGCATGCATTAGGTATTTGTCCTAATGCTCTGCCTCCCCTTGTCCCCCACCTCCCAACAGGCCCTGGTGTGTGATGTTCCCCTCCCTGTGTCCATTAGTTCTCATAGTTCAACTCCCACTTATGAGTGAGAACATGCAGTGTTTGGTTTTCTTTTCATGTGTTAGTTTGCTGAGAATGATGGTTTCCAGCTTCATCTATGTCCCTGCAAAGGACATGAACTCATTATTTTTTATGGCTGCATAGTATTCCATGGTATATATGTGCCACATTTCCTTTATCTAGTCTATCATTGATGGGCATTTGGGTTGGTTCCAAGTCTTTGCTATTGTAAATAGTGCTGCAGTAAACATACGTGTGCATGTGTCTTTATAGTAGAATGATTTATAATCCTTTGGGTATATACCCAGTAATGGGATAGCTGGGTCAAATGATATTTCTAGTTCTAGATCCTTGAGGAATCGCCACACTGTCTTTCACAATGGTTGAACTAATTTACACTCCCACTAATAGTGTAAAAGCGTCCCTATTTGTCCACATCCTCTCCAGAATCTGTTGTTTCCTGACGGGTTAATGAGAGAACATCTGATTCTTAAGAAACCTAAGCAAATCAAAAATCTATATAATACAGTAAAGAAAAATTCAATTTAGAAGGGGCATAAGCAGATTTAACTAAGATTTCAAATGTACTTATTTCCTCATTTAAAATTTCTTCTCCTTCAATATTATAATTTCAGGTCTCTTAAAATAAGGACTGAATTAAAATACAGAAATTGTGTTTTCTTTCAGAAATCAAGTGTCCCTGCATCTTAAATTTTCTGTACAGTTCCATTTATCAGTCCTTTGTGCAAGAGTTAGCAATTCATGACACAAGGGTCACTTTCTGCCTTTCTTTGCAGAGTTGATGACACTTACCAAACATCATCCGAATTCCTCAAGTATCATCCATTCAGCTGCTGCCTTTGAGTTTCCCTTCTTGTCTGCCTGCTCTGCCTGGGCTCTAAAGGAATTTTTTAAAGAAAGCAGCATATTTTTAGACTAACCAGTTGGTTAAGAAAATATAAGATAAAAAGCAATTATTGAAAGCATTGTTCAGTGTTCTATTTAATCACAGAAACATCTGCATATATTTGAAAAATAGTGACACAAATGTGAGACATTTAGTCTGCAGATAGTATATCACATGATGGTTAAGAGCTCAGGCTGTAGAGTCAGAACCCAGTTTGAATCCATAGCTTACTATTTTTAACTTTGGACAAGTTACTTACATATCAGTGCTTCAGTTTTCTCATCTGTAAAATATGAATGATATTAGTACCTAATTGATAGATCTGTCATATAGACTATAAATAAGTTAGTATATTTGAAGAGCCTAGAACAGAACCTAGCACATTGTAAGTAACATTTAAAGTGTTGGCTATTATCATGATGGTGCTATCTTGTGTAACCTATGCAGTAAATCAGAGACCTTTTACTTTTAAGTTTCTCTTCTGTTCTTAGATTCTTATTCTGGTGAATGACTGTTGGGACTTTTGAATAGATACTACTTTTAGAAATTTGTGTTCAGTTTTACCTCACCCTCTTTGAGATTTTTGCCCACCTCCTGCTGACACATACTTTGGAGATACTAATCCCTGAGCCACTGCGCCTGGCTTTTTAAAAATTTCTGTAGTTCTTGTTATTAAACATGAGGTCTGGTATGTACATGGATGAATAAATAACATAACATTTTCAAAATGGTTCATCCTTTTTTGTTTTGTTTTAAGAAATCTTTTCCTACACTGAGATCTGCATTTCTTCTACACATTTTAAAGTTAGCCTTTTATATTCAGGTCCATAATTTACCTGGAATTAATTTTTCCTTTTTTTTTTTTTTTTTTTTCTATTGCCCAGTCTGGGCATGCTATGGCATGATCACAGCTTACTGCAACCTTGACCTCCTGGGCTCAAGAGATCCTCCCACCTCAGCCTCCCGAGTAGCTGGGACCACCGGCACATGCTACCACATCCAGCTAATTTTTTTTTTTTTTTTTTGAGATGGAGTTTTGCTCTTGTTGCCCAGCCTGGAGTGCAATGCATGATCTCGGCTCACTGCAACGTCTGCCTCCTGGGTTCAAGCGATTCTCCTGCCTCAAGCCTCCCAAGTAGCTGGGATTACAGGCATGTGCCACCACGCCTGGACGCCAGGCTAATTTTTTTTTTTTTTTTTTTTTGCATTTTTAGTAGAGATGAGGTTTCTCCATGTTGGTCAGGCTGGTCTTGAACTCCTGACCTCACGTGATCCGCCTGCCTCGGCCTCCCAAAGTGCTGGGATTACAGATGTGAGCCACTGCATCCAGCCCATGTCTGGCTAATTTTTAAATATTTGTAGAGACAGATCTCATTATGTTGCCCAGGCTGATTTCAAACTCCTGGGCTCAAGCAATCCTCCTGCCTCAGCCTTCCGAAGTGCTGAGATTACAAGCGTGAACCATCCCACTTGACCTATAATTAATTTTTCTGTTTGCTGTCATTTAGAGATTCACTTGAAATTTTTTTTGCCATATGGGTATGCCTGGCATCATTTGCTGAATATTATTTTTTTTAGAGATGGGATCTTGCTCTGTTGCCTAAGCTAGAGTGCAGTGGCGTGATCAGAATTCACTGTAGCCTCGAACTCCTGAACTCAGGCAATCCTCACACCTCTGCCTTCCAAGTAGCTGGGACTACAGGCATATGCCACTGCACCCAGCTACAATTCAGGGTTTTGAGTAGAGGAGTGACATGATCTGATACAGGTTTTTAACAGTAGCTGATGTGCTGAAATTCACTGAAAGGTAGCATGAGTGAAAGTAGGAATACCAATTAGAAGGCAAGAGAGAGATAAGAATGACTTGGACCAAGTTTGGAAAAGGTGGTCAGTTTCTGGATATATTTTAAAGAAGGTTGCAACAGGATTTGCTGACAGATTAGAGATGAGAGGTGAAAGAAAGAGTCCAAGAAGATGCCTTGTGGGGTTTTTTTGACCAGAGAATCTGAGAGGGGAAAGATTGAGCTTAAAACAGATTTGTGGGGAAATTCCGGGAGTTCTATTTTCAACATGTTAGCAAAGCCCATCACACGTCCAAGGACAGATTTGAGTTACCAAATTGAATATCTAAATTTGGATTCTAAGAAAGATGTCCTCAAGTAAAGATTGTATTTAAAGCTGTTAAGTACCCTAGTCTCATCAACACAATATACTCAATAAGACTTTATTCTCTCTTAAGGCAGATTTAAAATTACTAACTTAACCCTCCCCTACCCACAAAGAAAATAAATATATTAATTTTCTTGGATTTTAGGATCTTCAAGATGAAGTTCAAAGGGAGAATACTAATCTGCAAAAACTACAGGCCCAGAAACAGCAGGTACAGGAACTCCTTGATGAACTGGATGAGCAGAAAGCCCAGCTGGAGGAGCAACTCAAGGAAGTCAGAAAGAAATGTGCTGAGGAGGCCCAACTGGTAATGTCTGGCTATTTCCTGCTGCCTGCATCTATACGTTACTTGCTTTTCCTGGCTTAAGATGAAAACATTCTCTACTTTTTGTTATTGGTGGTGGTAGTTGGCAATCTTGTCAGCATTTGGGTTCATGGGGGCGATGGAGCAAGGTTCATACAAAAATTACAGGCCTTCTTTAGAGGAAATAGGGCAGTTAATGAACTGGTTTTCCAAATTTTTGTTAGAAAATATGTACCTATACCTTCAACTCTCCTCTATCCCTCCACCAGTTAGCCTTCTCTCTGAAAACCATACATCAAAAAACATCATAATTGGCCGGGCACAGTGGCTCACACCTGTAATCCCAGCAGTTTGGGAGTCTGGGGCGGGGGAAATTGCTGGAGCCCAGGAGTTGGAAACCGGCCTGGGAAACATGGAGAAATCCTACCTCTACAAAAAATATGAAAGGTGGCTGGGCGCAGTGGCTCATGCCTGTAATCCCAGCACCTTGGGAGGCCGAGACGGGCAGATCATGAGGTTAGGAGATCGAGACCACGGTGAAACCCGTCTCTACTAAAATTACAAAAAATTAGCCGGGCGCGGTGGCGGGCGCCTGTAGTCCCACCTACTCAGGAGGCTGAGCCAGGAGAATGGCTTGAACCCGGGAGGTGGAGCTTGCAGTGAGCCGAGATCACACCACTGCACTCCAGCCTGGGCAACAGAGCAAGACTCCATCTCAAAAAAAAAAAAAAATTTTTTTTTGAAAGCCAGGTGTGGTGGCCCACATCTGTAATCCCACTTACTTGAGAGGCTAAGGTGAGAGGATCACCTGAGCCTGGGAAAGTTGAGCCTGAAGTGAGCTGTGATCGTGCCACTGCACTCCAGCCTGGGTGACAGAGTGAGACTGTCTCAAAGAAATAAAACAACAACAACAATAAAACACCATAATAGGCCTACGTATGGCTGGGCATGCTCCTATAGTCCCACCTACTCAGGAGGATCACTTGAGCCCAGGAGTTTGAATCCAGCCTGGGCAACATAGCAAGACTCTCTCTCTCTCAAAAATTAAATAAATTATTTGCTATTGCTGTCAAAAACAAACACACACACAAAAACCCCACCAAAATAGTAAAGTAAACTAAACAAATAAATGTATTGCATTTTGGAACATTTCAGTGACATCTCTTCTTTTAATCCCCATTTCTTCTCATTCACTTTCACATTATAGATCTCTTCTCTGAAAGCTGAATTAACTAGTCAGGAATCACAGATCTCCACTTATGAAGAAGAATTGGCAAAAGCTAGAGAAGAGCTGAGCCGTCTACAGCAGGAAACAGCAGAATTGGAGGAGAGTGTAGAGTCAGGGAAGGCTCAACTGGAACCTCTTCAGCAGCACCTACAAGATTCACAACAGGAAATTAGTTCAGTAAGTCTTTGTAAAGCAAGAAATATACTCAAATGGATCCTCTGTATCCTTTAGTCAGTTATACTTTCCAACTTCTGCTCCTTCAACCTCTTGCCTAGTTTACTGTTCATTTTTCAGTCATTTTATACAATAGGTTTTTTTTTGTTGTTGTTACCTGTTGTATATTGAAACTATCATACATCTTGTATGTCTATCTGATGATTATCATTGGAGTAGTGATTAAGAGTGTGAACTTTGTGGCTGGATGGTCTAGGTTTAAGTACTGGTCTGCCACTTACTAGCTAAATCACCTTAGTATCAGATTCTTCATCTTCAAAATTGGAGGATTAATAAATACCCTACCCCTTAAGGCCACTATGAGGATTAATGAGGCAAAGCCTGTAAGACATTTTAGCATGGTGCTTGGTATATAAATGCTCAATAAGTGTTGCTTATTTTATAAACAATAACCTAGTTTCTTCTGTTTTGTGATTCTAATTTTGAATTCACATTTACTAATTTGGAAACTTGTTTCTTAAGGAAATTGTTCCTTCTGTAGATAAATGTGCAGTGTTATAGTTGGTCTTATGTATAGATCCTTTGCTTTTTTATTTCCAGGTTTCCCTACATGAAGACTAGTGTTTTAATGAATGATGAGATAGTTAGGGCTGGGCATTGTGGCCCATGCCTGTAATCCCAGCACTTTGGGAGGGTGAGGCAGCGGATCACTTGAGGCCGGGATTTTGAGACCATCCCTGCCAACATGACCAAACTCTGTTTCTACTAGAAGATACAAAAATTAGCTGGACATGGTGGTACCTGCCTGTAATCCCAGCTGCTTGGGAGGCTGAGGCACGAGAATCGCTTGAGCCTGGGAGGCCGAGGTTGCATTGAGCTCAGATCACACCACTGCACTCCACCCTGGGCAACAGAGTGAGAATCTGTCTCAAAAAATAAAAACTTAAAAAAAAAAAAAGGATGATTAGACAGAAACACAGAGATCATGGAGTCCATTTCTTTCATTATGAATTTGAAAAAATTAAAGCCAAGGAAGTTCAAGTAACTTTCTCATGGTTACATATCCTTGAAAAGGGCTACATCTGAAATCCAGTTCTTCTAAAATTCAGTCCAGTGTGCTCAGTTATTACAGAATGAAGTCCTTCACTTTTGTGCTTCCTTACCCCCTGTTATCTGGCAGCTGAGTACCTACCTACTCATTCATCATGCAAGATATACCTTAAATTCTTATTTCTTTATGGTATTTTCTGCATTCTGCTTTTGTTGGACTTTGTATTTCTATTATAGCAGTAGTAAGATTTTTCCCTGCATATTTGCTTATATGTCTGTCTCTCCTAGCAGACTGATGGTTTTGGTCCAGGAACTTACACATTTTAAAAAATCCCTATCATTTAGCACAGTTCTTGTCCTAATGTAGGTACTCAATAAACAGGTAACCTGAAAGAGTTGTAGTGAGAATGCTGCCAGATGAATGGGTATTCTTTCAACCATTTCCTTTTTTTGAATTTCTTTAAAAAAAGGAATATTTATTGTCAGAAATTACTGAATCCTTCCTCTAAGTCATGTAGCATTCCCAGAGGATTCTTCTTAAAGGAAACAAATGTATCCTAGACCAAGTCTATGGGTATAACCATTTTTATTTTATTTATTTTTTTGAGGCAGGGTCTCATTCTGTCACTCTGGAGTGTAGTGGTGTGATCATGGCTCACTGCAGCCTTGACCTCTGGGCTCAAGTGATTCTCCCTTCTCAGCCTCCTGAGTAACTGGGACTACAGGTGCACTCCACCATGCCCAGCTAATTTTTATATTTCTTGTAGAAATGAGGTTTCACCGTGTTGCTCAGGCTGGTCTTGAACTCCTGGACTGAAGCAGTCCTCCTGCCTCAGTTTCCCAAAGTGTTGAGATTATAGGCAAGAGCTGCCACACCTAGCCCGTCAGGAAGTGGAGGAGGGCATTTTTATGTTACATGTCTTTTGAGTAATAAATTCTGTTCTGTATTCCCACTTTGTGTTGGCAGATGCAAATGAAACTGATGGAAATGAAAGATTTGGAAAATCATAATAATACGTTAAATTGGTGCAGTAGCCCACACAGCATTCTTGTAAATGGAGCTACAGATTATTGCAGCCTCAGCACCAGCAGCAGTGAAACAGCCAACCTTAATGAACATGCTGAAGGCCAGAGCAACCTAGAGTCTGAGCCCATACACCAGGAATCTCCAGTGAGTCTAATACTTTCATAACTTTCATAATCAACTTCCTTGTGCAGATCCAAGTTTCATTGGCATTATATCTAATATAAATACATGGCCTTGCCTCATGTGAGAACAATTGAGATTTCCTTTTTAGAGGCAGAGAGTGAGTCCTAATCCAAACAATTGTACATTTTAACTAGTATAGTATAAAAAGATAACTTCAGCTGTTTTTTTTTTTTTTTTTTTTGGAGACGGAGTTTTGCTCTTGTTGCCCAGGCTGGAGTGCAGTGGCGTGATCTTGGCTTACTGCAACCTCCGCCTCTCGGGTTCAAGTGATTCTCCTGCCTCAGCCTCCTGAGTAGCTGGGATTACAGTCTTATGCCACCACACCCAGCTAATGTTTTGTATTTTTAGTAGAGATGGGGTTTCATCATGTTGGCCAGCCTGGTTTTGAATTCCTGACCTCAAGTGACCCACCTGCCTTGGCCTCCCAAAGTGCAGGGATTACAGGCGTGAGCCACCATGCCCAGCCAGCTAATTTATTTTTTATAGAGCCTGTTTTTAAAACACTTGTTCTGTAGAGTAAAACTTTTTTTTAAGTACCTCACCCAAAACTATAATAATTTTTATTACATAGTGTTAAGGACATTCATTTACCAGTTATTTGGAGAGTACCAACTATGTGCGAGAGTGCTGTATTACATAAGAGCTACAGAGACAAGAGACCTCAATCTTTCCTCCAAGCAGCGTATAGTGTAGTAGTGTAACACTGTGTTAGAGGGCTGTGCTAAAGGAAGCACAGAATTTTTAGATCGGACAGTTTGGAGGGGGTTCATAAAGATTTTGTTGGAAAAAGCTTTGCAAGTGAGCTTTGACAAGTGAGAAAGGGTTAAGCAAAGAAGAGGAGGATACATTCCTGCCAGAGAAAACAGTATTAGTATAGGTACAAGGTGGAAGAATACATGCAGCACAGAATCTTGAGAAGTTCTGAAGGATATCTTGTGATGATGGAGAGGGTATTGGTAAGAGATGAGGTGCTCCTAGTAGGCATCTGCATTACCTCTGGTGCTTATCAAAGTATAGGTGATTCCCCAAACTTGCTGAACTAGTTTCTGGGATAGAGCCAGATACATGTATTTTAAAAACACGTTCTATGGGTGATTGTCATGTGTACCTGGATAAAAATGACCACTTTTAGGTCAGAAAGTGCCAGAAAGTGAGAAATTTAGATTCATCTTAAAGCTTTGGGGGATTTATCCTACTGCAGTGAACAGCCATTGAAGAATTTTGAGCAAGAAGTGATGTGATTAACTTTTAGAAATGTGGAAAACGAATTAGAGAGTAAGACTGTAGAAGGGATAATAAGAATAGAAATTTGAGAGGTATTAAAAGTGAAAAGTTAACAGACTCGATTTTATTTACACAGTACAGTCACGTATGGATTATACAATATTCTTTCAATTGCAAAAGGCAGATTACTAGGTTATCCTTCAAATAGATAAGGGTGGTATAAAATAGATATTGCCCCTGCTATTTTTTTTTTTTTTTTTTTGAGACTGAGTCTCACTCTGTGGGCCAGGCTGAAGTGCAGTGGTGCAGTCTCGGCTCACTGCAACCTCTGCCTCCCAAGTTCAAGCTGTTCTCCTGCCTCAGCCTCCTGAGTAGCTGGGAATACAGATGCGTGCCACCACGCCTGGCTAATTTTTTGCATTTTTAGTAGAGACGGGGTTTCACCGTGTTAGCCAGGATGGTCTCGATCTCCTGACCTCGTGATCTGCCTGCCTCGGCCTCCCATAGCATTGGGATTACAGGCGTGAGCCACCGCACCCAGTCTGCCCCTACTGCTTCTTAAGTCTTTCACCGACTCGTCTAAATGAAGAAGACAATGGGAAGCCATTGAAGAATTTTAACCAGAAGGGTCATGATCACATCCAAATCTTAGAGCTATTAGTTTGGCTACAATAAGGAGAAGAGATTGGAAATGCACGTATTGCAGGCAGGAAAGCAGTTGGAAGGAAGACTGCTATAGTAATTGGAACCAAAGATAATAATACTGTAAGTGACTGATAGTGACAGTGAGGATGGAGAAGAAGGCAAGGATTTGAAAAAGAGGTAAGAAGTAGACTGAGCAAGACTTGGAGTCTTATTCTAACTGAGGATTAAAGATGACCTGAAGGTTTCTGACATGAATGACTTTGATGCTTGATGACACCATTTCCCTAAAAAAGATTATAGAAGGAGGAATTATTTGATGAATATGTTCTACTTGTCTTTTTATTTTTAAATAATTTTTGGTTATCTTTAGTCAGTTGTCTCTGCCAAGTCAAAAAGTATATTGTTAATCTACTTGCATTAATATTTTGTAGGCAAGAAGTAGTCCTGAACTACTGCCTTCTGGTGTGACTGATGAAAATGAGGTGACTACAGCTGTTACTGAAAAAGTTTGTTCTGAACTCGATAATAACAGACATTCAAAAGAGGTAAAAATAATTTTATATTAACATTGGAGACTCATAAGGGTGGAAGGACAGGAGGAGGTGAATTATCAGACATTACTTAATGGGTACAATATACATTATTCAGATGACAGATACATCAAAAGCCCCGACTTTACCATTAGGCAATATAGTGATGTAACAGAATTCCACTTGGACCCCTTGAATTTATACATATAAAATAAATAAATGTTCTTAATAGCTGGATGTGGTGGCAAGTGCCTGTAGTCCCAACTACTCAGGAGGCTGAAGTAGGTGGATTGCTTGAGCCTGAGCTGGTGGCACTAGGCAACATAGAGAGACCTTATCTCTAAAAATTAAATGATATATTTTAAAAATGTCCTTATCACTGTTTTCCTTAGATGAATTATACACTATTTTAGGTGAAGGAAAGAGAAATGTGTTAAATGTACTTTATGACTAGAGAAATATTTGTTACATTACCATCAGTTGATTTTTCTTTTGTTTTCGAGACTAAGTTTCACTTTGTCACCCAGGCTAGAGTACAAGTAGTGTGATCTTAACTCACTGCAACCTCCACCTCCCAGGTTCAAGCGATTCTCCTGCCTCAGCCTCCCAAGTAGCTGGGACTACAGGCATGTGCCACCACGCCCAGCTAATTTTTGTATTTTTGGTAGAGACAGGGTTTCACCATGTTGGCCAGGATGGTCTCTCTCTCTTGACCTTGTGATCCGCCCACATCAGCCTCCCAAAGTGCTGGGATTACACGTGTGAGCCACTGTGCCCGGCCCATCAGTTGATTTTTCAAAGCATGTATATGACCTGAATATATGTTATTTTATTTTAAAATGTTACCTTTTAAAACTTTGGTTTCTAAAAAAAAATTTTAATTAAAAATTATTTTTAGGAAGATCCATTTAATGTAGACTCAAGTTCGCTGACAGATCCAGTTGCAGATACAAACTTGGATTTTTTCCAGTCTGATCCTTTCGTTGGCAGTAAGTACTCTTTTTTTTTTCTATTAGTTTTACCCAAAAAAAGGCTTTGTAATATATAAACTAAGGATTAAGGCTTTGGTTTCAATAGCCTACCAACTCAGTCTGTCACCCAGGCTGGAGTGCAGTGGCACAATCTCGGCTCACTGCAACCTCCACCTCCTGGGTTCAAGCAATTCTCCTGTCTCAGCCTCTTGAGTACCTGGGGCTACAGGCGCCCGCCACCACGCCCAGCTAATTTATAAATATTTTTAGTAGAGACGGGGTTTCACCGTGTTAGCCAGGATGGTCTCGATCTCCTGACCTCGTGATCACAATCTTGACTCACTGCAACCTCTGCCTCCCGGATTCAAGTGATTCTCCTCAGCCTCCCAAGTAGTTGGGATTACCACCACACCCAGCTAATTTTTGTATTTTTAGTAGAGGCAGGGTTTCACCATGTTGGCCAGGATGGTCTCCATCTCTTGACCTCATGATCTGCCTACTTTGGCCTCCCAAAGTGCTGGGATTACAGGCGTGAGCCACCACGTCCGGCCTAATTTTTGTATTTTTAGTAGAGACTGGGTTTCACCATTTTGACCAGGCTGGTCTTGAACTCCTGACCTCAGGTGATCCACCTGCCTCAGCCTTCTAAAGTGCTGGGATTACAGGCGTGAGCCACTGCGCCTGGCCTGCTTTGTATTTTCCTGCTGACTAATGTTGAACATCTTTCTAGATGCTTATTGGCCATTTGTATGTCTTCTTTGGAAAAGTGTTTATTCAATTTTGGTGAAGTCCAATTATCTATTTTTTTCTTCTATCACTTGTGCTTTTGGTGTCATCTACGAAACTATTACCTTAGTCACAAAGATTTAATGCTGTCTTTGTCTAAGAGTTTTATAGTTTTGCTGTTACAGTTAGATCTTTGATCCATTTTGAGTTTATTTTTGTATGTGATGTGAGATAGGGGTCAAGCTTCATTCTTTTGCATGTGGATATCCAGTTGTCCTAACACCATTTGTTGAAAAGACTGTCCTTTGTCCATTTTGTGTTCTTGATACTCTTTTCAAAAATCAAATGACCATAAATGTAAGGATTTATTTCTGGACTCTTCAGTCCTGTAAGAATTTTTTTTTTTTTTTCCCTCTTCAGTAAAGCTCAGTATCTTTATTTCTGAACTGGTGATAACAACACCCTCCCAGTACTCTTGTGAAGAGTAGAGGTTTTGTTAGTAAAATTTTTGCTGTAATGTCTTCCCCTCCATCTGTAACCTCAACTTGTGATCAAGGTAAGTATAGTTGGCTGTACATTTAATAAGGTCAATGACATTCCTTATTTTATCTACTTTCAAGTGAAGTTTTTGAAATAAACTTTGCTTTGCTTTTGTTTTAAAGTTACCCTTTAAGTAACGGTGTCATCACAGTAAATACTGTTATTTGGATTTCTTTCTGTTTATTTTATCACAGGTGATCCTTTCAAGGATGATCCTTTTGGAAAAATCGGTCAGTATCTTACTGAGTTTCATCTTAGCTTTCATTCATTTCCGCTTAATAATAAACTTATGTTATTTGGGTCTGAAACTGAAGCCCCAGTAAGATACTCTATGTGCCTGGCATTTTCAGAAAGAAAGTAGTAAATTCTTGAGATTTTGCTTAATAAATTGTTGCTTTACTTTTACTTCTCCTTTTTTTTTTCTGGTGTTTTTTGTTTCTGAGACAGGGTCTTATTCTGTCACCCAGGCTGCAATGCAGTGGTGTGATCATGGCTCACTGCAGCCTTGACTTCCTGGGCTCAACTAGTCCTCCTGCCTCAGCCTCCTGAGTACCTAGGTCTACAGGCTCATGCCAGCACACCTGACTGATTTTTTAAAAAATTTTTTGTGGAGACAGGGTCTCACTGTGTTGCCCAGGTTGATCTTAAACTCCTGGGCTCAAGCAGTCCTCCTACCTCAGCCTCCCAAAGTGCTGCGATTACAGACAGGCATGAGCCACTATGCCCAGTAGCTTTACTTTTTAAAAAATGACATTAGTGTTTAGACTTTGGTGCTTTTAATATTTATTCTGATTCCTCCTTACTAACTAAAGGTTTGGTGAACATAATGATCTATACTACTTCGGGATTTAGAATGTAATTTTGTTTTCCTATGATTATAGCCCACACATGTGATTAGAGGAAGAGGATCTTGAAGAATTACTAAAACATCAGGCTTTTTAAGATACTCTTTTTCTGGGAATTTTCATTAGAATAATGCAAATCTTGTTTACCGTTTAGTTTTTGCATCCCAAACCTGTTCTAAACTATTGGCTGTTAGCTTTGAGCTCAGAGAGAAAAATACATTTAGAAGTTTTTATTGTGTTTTCTTTAGTTTTGATAGCGTAGAATAAGGAAACTTAAAATTGGATCCCTTGAAATTATATGTTAATTTTAAAAAATAAGTTTATTAGGTGAAAGGTTCTATATCTTTTATCAAAATTGCAAAGGAGTCTGTGAAATAAAAAATAGTCAGCTTAGATTCTACAGCATTTCAAACTGTCTTTTTGGGGGTTTTTTTGAGACAGTCTTGCTCTGTTGCCCAGGCTAGAGTACAAGTAGTGTGATCTTAACTCACTGCAACCTCCACCTCCCATGCTGAAGTAATTATTCTCATGCCTCAGCCTCCTGAATAGCCGGGATTACAGGCGCGCACCACCACGCCTGGCTAATTTTTGTGTTTTTAGTAGAGGCAGGGTTTCACCATGTTAGCCAGGCTGGTGTTAAACTCCTGAGCTCAAGTGATCCGTCCACCTCAACCTACCAAAGTGCTGGAATTACAGGTGTAAGCCACTGCACCCAGCCCAAACTGTCTTTTTGTTTGTTGATTTTTGTTGGTTTGTTTTTGAGACAGGGTCTCACTGTCACCCAGGCTGGAGTAGAGTGGCAGGTCTTTGCTCACTGCAGCTTCTGCCTCCCATGTTCAAGTGATTCTCCCACCTCAGCCTCCTGAGTAGCTGGGACTGTAGGTGCGTACCACCACTCCTGGCTAATTTTTGTATTTTTTAGTAGAGAGGAGGTTTTGCCATGTTGGCCAGGCTGGTCTTGAACTCCTGATCTCAAGTGATCTGCCTGCCTCAGCCTCCCAAAGTGGTGGGATTACAGGTGTGAGCCACTGCACCTGGCCCCAAACTATCTTTTAATTAAGGCACTGATCATACCTTCAAGTGATGGGAAATTTAGTGCAATAATTTTTTTTTGTCTCTTATATTCATGCCTTATTTTTTTAGATCCATTTGGTGGTGATCCTTTCAAAGGTTCAGATCCATTTGCATCAGACTGTTTCTTCAGGCAATCTACTGATCCTTTTGCCACTTCAAGCACTGACCCTTTCAGTGCAGCCAACAATAGCAATATTACATCGGTAAGTGGGAGAATTAAAGACTGTTAAGTTAAATGGATACGTGTCCTAAGCAAGTTTCTTGAAATACATAGTGATGAAAGAACCCTCATTTAGATTACTTCTAATGGGCCATATAAGAATTTCAGTCGCATCCCAATTCATTTCGTTTTTGGTTCAGACTGGTATTTCATAGTTTGGTTACCCACTGGAATTAACTGGAATGACTGAACAGGGTCCAAAAGTGATGTTCATCTTTCAAGAGACTAAATCTTATCCTATTGAGGATACTAACAATGATTGGAAATTTATAAGCCAATCTTATATAAAACTTTTCTGAAATGTTTGGTATATTATTGAAATAATGAAAATTACTTTAAAAGAACTTTAGAAAAATAAAATCATTTATGTTATTTCATAGACACATCTGGAATGTTAATTCTGCAAAGTACAAATTCTTATTAAATGTCAAGCTCTCTTGAGAACATACATACCTACACAATCACTATTTAATAACCACATGCCTGATCCAGGTACTGGTGTGTGCTTTCCATTCGTTGTTTCTAATATTTACATCAATTTTGCAAAGTAGGTGTTGATATCCCTATTTTAAAAATAAGGACACTGGGATTAGAAAAATTAACATGTTTAAGGTCCTATAGCTAGTTGCTCTTTTATCTGGAGGCTTTAAAAAAATCTTCATATTGTGGATATTTAGAAATACTTAAACGAGAATAATGTAATGAAATATTTTAACAAGCTTTCATGCATCCATTACCCAATGTCAATAATTAGGAATGGTTTTGCTGATTTTTGGTTTTGCTTTTTAATTTGTGTTTTAAGACTTCGTTTTTGAGACGGGTGGTTTCACGTCTGTAGGTAAACTGAACCTATAAAGGACCAGTTAATTGAGAGGCATTTGAAGCAAAAATTTTATCTTCTAGTACTCTTAGATTAAGAATTTTTCCTTTAAAATGTAATTGATTATTTTAAAGATAATAGATTTTGTATTATTGAAAGTTGCTTCTTTTTTATATTCAGTAAAGAGCTGCCTGGCTAAGAACTGGTATTTTCCATTGAATGAAAACTGGACAGATACCTTCGTAACTGAATATTTTTGGTTTCCCCGGGCTACCGGATACTCTGTTTTCCTATAGCGCTTAGTTTGCAATGTGGACCCATTTGCCAAATTCTTCTAAAGTTGCTGCTACCGGAATTCTTCTCTTCTTAACCTTCTTATTCTAGCCTCTCATTCTCCTATGATCTAAAGAGCAAGAAAGCTAAATCAGCTCTTCGAATTTAAAAATGAATACATTCCTCTTGTCCTGTCCCCCATGAGATTTTTCTACCGTTTGTTTTACTGACATTTTGTTCCCAGTTTTCTACAGGTATATTGTCCTTGCTTACAGCTTGTAATTTCACCATTCAAAACAAAACAAAAAACCAAACTGGCAATATTATAATAGCTGCAGCTTATCTAATTTCCTCTATGTGCCAGGGATGGTGCCAAGCTCTTTATATGCATTGTCTCGTTTAATTTTCACAGTAATCGTATGAGGTTTACATATGTTAAGTTGAGGCCAGGTGTGGTGGCTCCCACCTCTAATTCCAGCACTTTAGGAGGCCAAGGCAGGAGGATCACTTGAGGCAAGTAGTTCACAATCAGCCTGGACAACAAAGCGAGACACTGTCTCTACAAAAAAATTAAAATATTAGTCAGGTGTGATAGCATGCACCTATAATCCCAGCTACTTGAGAGACTCAGGTGGGAGGATTGTGTGAGCGAAGGAAGTCAAGGCAACAGTGAGCCATTATTGCACTACAGCACTCCAGCTTGGGTGACAGAGTGAGATCTTGTCTCAATTTAAAAAAAAAAAGATTAAGTTGGTAGTAAGTTAATTAGTGGTAGAACTAGACTCAAACTCTGTTCTGTGTAACCAAAATCTGAGATTTTCACCAATACAATCTAGAAATTTTTAAAAAATTGGCCCTGCTAAACTCCCCAATTATCAAACTGACATAGAGTTTTGTGGCCCCTTGTTCCTTCATGGGCTGCACAATCTGTCCTGTTCCCCTTGCTATCCTGACGGCCTTTTAGGGTGGTTGCACAGTATGATGAAGGACTAGAAACTAAATCTGACACACATGTAGACATGCCCTTTCCCTTTCTCCTTGTGATGGCAAATCAAATCTGTAAGCTGTTGTTTAAAACACAGCCTGTTAGTTTTTCTTTCTCTCAAAGAGAGGAAGTAATAATACAGGTTGAGCACCCCAAATCCGAAATGCGCCAGTAAACATTTCCTGAGTATCATGTCAGCACTCAAAAGGTTTCAGACTTTGGAGCCTTTCACATTTTCAAATTATGGATGTTGACTTGGTAAATAGAACACAAATATTCCAAAATCTGAAAAAACCCAACATCCAAAATACTTTTTGTCCCAAGCATTTCTGATAAGGGATGCTCAGCCTGTCCTTGGTGACTTGTTATGTCAGTGACCTTCTCTTACACTGGTGTTATGACTATCATATTAGGAAACATGGAAAGTTATCTCGCTATATAGACCAGTATAAGTTTTTCTTTAATTGCTGTTTATTCCGCAGATATCTAAGTTAGTGTGCTAGTTGTATAATATAATTGGCATCAGTTAATACTGACATTACTTTTTATCATTCATAGTTTTCATTTCTAAAAACTTCATTAGTATTCTTTCTGCTAGTAGTTTTAATGGATTCTTTTATAAAGAGAGAAGGTTAGTCCCAGTTAACATTACCTTTCTCTACAATTAAATTTTTTTATTTTATTTATTTATTTATTTATTTTTGAGACGGAGTCTCGCTCTGTCGCCCAGGCTGGAGTGCAGTGGCTGGATCTCAGCTCACTGCAAGCTCCGCCTGCTGGGTTTACGCCATTCTCCTGCCTCAGCCTCCCGAGTAGCTGGGACTACATTAGGTGGGACTACAGGCGCCCGCCACCTCGCCCGACTAGTTTTTTGTATTCTTTAGTAGAGACAGGGTTTCACCATGTTAGCCAGGATGGTCTTGATCTCCTGACCTCGTGATCCACCCATCTCGGCCTCCCAAAGTGCTGGGATTACAGGCTTGAGCCACTGCGCCCGGCCTACATTTTTTTTTAACTTGGAAATTTATACATTAAGCTCTGGCAGTATTATTTGGCATTTATTTGTAATATCCAACTTCTTGATAATTGGAAATAGAGTCTGTAATACAAATGACATTGATAATCATGCATCAGAGTTGCATATAAATGTTCAGAAACTCTTTTCACACTCTTTTCACCTGTTTGCCAAGTCTTTCAGCTAGCCCCTTAAAAAGAGCCTGGTGCCAGAAAGAGGAAATTCAGTTATCTTCCTAAATATACAATTTGTTTGACTATGATTAAAAACTAAAGTATAAAGTAGGAAGACAGTTAAAAGCCAGAATCGCTGGCATCTGGTAACATTCTCACCTTTAGCAAGATCAGTTGCTCTTGATCCCAGACTTTTACATAGCTTATTATTGAAAGCAGCAGGATCTTTTTAGCAAAAAGCTATCTTTGTGTATGTGTGCGTGTGTCTGTGTGTATGTGTGTACATGTGTTTTCTCTCTGAGGGTCAGAATGCAGAATTATTTTTAGATAACAATTAGAAAATAGAAATTAACATTTTATGATATTAAGTACTAGGATATGTGAGAATTAAAATAGTGTGTGCATTCTAAATATAAAATGATATTCTGGAATCTGGTGAAATCTAATAAAATCTATGGTTTATAGTTTTGTACCAGTGTTCTTCGTTTTAATAGATGTACTATAATTATGTGAGATATTAACATTAGGGGAAACTGGGTGAAGAGTATATGGGAACTCTGTACTATCTTTACGGCTCTTACGTAAATCTAAATTATTCCAAGATAAAAGGTTAGTGGTGGCTCTCACCTGAAATCCCAGTGCTTTCGGAGGCCAAGGTGGGAGGATTTCTTGAGGCCAGGAGTTTGAGAGAAACATAGCAAGACCCTGTCTCTACAAATAATAACAAAAATTACCTAGGTGTGGTGGCATATACCTGTAGTCCCAGCTATTCGGGAGGCTAAGGCAGGGGAGAGGCAGGAGGATCACTTGAGCCCAGGAGTTTGAGGTTACAGTGAGCTGTGATCACACCACTGTATTCCAGCTGGGGTGACAGAGCGAGACCCTGTCTCTAAAAAATGAAATAAGTAAAAAGTTAAAACAATGTACATCTATACAACTAGCAAGATTATGAAGAAAAAAATAAACGAGTATCACCAAAATCAGGATTGTGATTATAGAGGGGCACATGAAGACTTCCGAGGTATAGTCAGTTTCCTGGGAGATAACTACACAAGTGTTCACTTGATACATACTTGTTAAACCATAGATCTGTTTCATGTACTTTTCTGAATGGATGTTATATTTCACAGTTAAGATTAGAAAATAATACGTATTATTTCCAGTTAGTAAGATTGCAGATCACTATGGGGAAACATTTGTTCCTAATGTCTATATTCCTTAATTAATTAAGAATTTGTAGATAGTATATTCTTTGGAGTGGTGATGAGGTTTCAGCTATGGTGTTGCCTCTCTCATTCATGGTTTTATATGCTTTGTTTAGGTGGAAACATTGAAGCACAATGATCCTTTTGCTCCTGGTGGAACAGTTGTTGCAGCAAGCGATTCAGGTAAATAAATAATTTATCAACTTCATTGAACGTTAAACATTACACTTTTTTTTGAGATTTTTTCTTTGCCTCTAAATATATTTGTTAGGCCGGGCGCGGTGGCTCAAGCCTGTAATCCCAGCACTTTGGGAGGCCGAGACGGGCGGATCATGAGGTCAGGAGATCAAGACCATCCTGCGTCTCTACCAAAAAAAAAAGACAAAAAAAAACTAGCCGGGCGAGGTGGCGGGCGCCTGTAGTCCCAGCTACCCGGGAGGCTGAGGCAGGAGAATGGCGGGAACCCGGGAGGCAGAGCTTGCAGTGAGCTGAGATCCGGCCACTGCACTCCAGCCTGGGTGACAGAGCGAGACTCCGTCTCAAAAAAAAAAAAAAATAAATAAATAAATAAATAAATATATTTGTCCTGTTATTTATAGCTTTAAAATTATTGCATAATTATATCCAATTGTAATTTACCAATAATAACAAGCATTTGTGTGTCACTTTCTACTTATCTTTCATTATTTCATTTATTGTTCATGTTGAATATTATACTAGAATATGAACTCTACCCAGTATCAGTAAACCAATAAAAATGTTTTGCTTTATAAAATGCTGTGTTGCTTGGCAGCTTTAAAGTCAGCATTGACTGTTATGGGTCTTGGTCTAAGTTAAAAGATTAGTGGCTTCCAATAGAAAATGAAAATTGCTTTACAAATACAAATGGGTTCTGTTAACAATACAGAGAAAAGCTAAGTGTTATTTTAGCATCCAGTCTTCATACTTCATTTATGGTATCTAATTTTTTATTTATTCTTTTAATAACCTTTTAAAATAGTAATCTCATTTTAATCATAAACTAAGGACCAGAATATTAAGCAGTGTTCATCAAGATTGTACAGTTTAATAGATTTGAACCAGGTAAAGCCACGATTCAACGTTAGGTCTGACAAAATCAAAAAGCTTTTTCAACAAAGTAACTCTGCTTCTTTTCCACTGTTCATTTAAAACAAAAACAGACCAGCTATCATTTGGGAAAGCAGAAAATTTGAGGAAAGTAAAGTCAAATGTCTAAATACTCTAATATGCTGAAAATAGATTATTTTTCCAGGTGAATATAGAGTGAGTTGTTCAGTATACAAATGTATTAATTGTGACTAATTAAGGATTATGAACATAGAAAAAGAATAGTAGAAATGTCTTTACAGAAGTCTGGGTGCAGTGGCTCACGGCTGTAATCCCAGCATTTTGGGAGGCCGAGGCAGGTACGTCACTTGAGGTCAGGAGTTCGAGACCAGCCTGGCCAACATGGTGAAAACCCGTCTCCACTAAAAATACAAAAATTAGCCGGGCATGGTGGTGGGTGCCTGTAATTCCAGCTACTTGGGAGGCAGAGGCAGAGAATTGCTTAAACCCAGAAGGTGGAGGTTGCAGTGAGCCGAGATTGTGCCATTGCATGCCAGCCTGGGCAACAGAGTGAGACTCTGTCTCCAAAAAAAAAAAAGGCTGGCTCCAAAAAACAGGTTGGGTTTCTTATAATGAACAAATTGTAACAAGATGAGATTTAGCAGAGTGCATTGTTTTCAGGTTGGAAATTAACTCCCAACATGAGTAGCAAGAGTGAGGAATACAAAAAGTAGGTATGTAGAAAACAAGATTTAATGTAGGCTGAATATTGCTTTAAACAGAAACTTAGAGTGAGAGCAAATGAGACTTCTAAAAGGTTTATTGTATTAACAGTGGTTAAATTACATATTTTTAAGTACATGTGCTCTTTTTGTACCCTCATTATTAAACTGATTGTATTGCTAGGGGTATTATAGAATTAAAAAGAATAACCTAAGGAAATGGTAGGTGCCATAGAGTTAATTAAACCAACAAAGATTAAAGGAAGGGAAGACCACATTAAGGATAAATCAATAATGATATCAAAGTGGAATGTGGCTTTTGTGGTATGCCTTAAAAGCATGAGCTAGTATTTTAGCAGGTAAATATGGAAAGAGATTATGTGGAGCAAAAAGAACAATGTGAACAAGAAGTGGAGGCAGAACATATAGGGCATATTCAAGGAAAAACTAACACATTTTTGCAAGAGCTATTTCTCTATTTTTGCAAGATAGAGGAATAGTCAAGTTAAGGCTGAAGTGGTAGGTTACAGTGTTACATTAAAGGTTTCTAATACCTCTGTTGATCTTCTGCTTAAATTCCAGTTCCTAATTCATTTCCTGTAAAGTGGTAGAATAAATGACGATAATAGTCTAGGAGGAGGCTAAGATTTATCATTAATTATAGTAATAATGGCTACTATTCATTGAACACTTGCCGAGTTCCAACAGTCAACATGCTAATCATTTTTCTCTACTTGGTCCCATTTAATTCTCACAACAGCTACGTTAGGTAATTTGTATTATGTTTATTGTACAGACAAGGAAAATCCAGGCGTGGAGAGATGAAACAGTTTTCAGAAGGTTAAAGTTGTAGTATTAGATGTACCCAATTCAAATGAGGTCTCTGGTTTTCCACCTGCCTCTTTGGTCATTCTTTCTTAATCTCCTTTGTTGATATTTCCTCTTTTTCTCAACCTCTTAATATTGTGTTGTCCCAAGTCTTAGTCCTTGGACCTCTTTTCTTTTTTATCTGTATTCCCTTGGGGGAAATCATCTGTGGCTTCAAATACTATTGATACACTGATCTATATCTCTAGTCACATCTCTTTCCTGAACTCCAGGCTCATTTTTCCAGCTAATTTATTTGGAATCTCCATGTGAATGTCTGATAGATACATCTAATGCATAAATCTAACACAAAGCAGCTATTTTTCCTTCCTAGACCTGCTTTTCTTGGCACCTTCCACATCTTAGTTCATGGTTCATCTTTAATGTAGTCTAAGATGATTCTAAAATCTTAGAATCATCCTTCGTTCTTCTTTTGCTCTTCCTCTATCTCTAATCTGTCAAGAAATCTTATTGACTCTACCTTCAAATTATATCCAGTAAAAGCCTTACAGTGGCGTGCACTTTTCTAACAATATCTCATCATTATTCCCATTACTCACTCTGCTCCAGCCACACTGGTCTTCTTGCTGCTGCACAAACAACAGAGCCATGTTCTTTGGCCCTTTGCACTAGCTGTTCCCTCTTCCTGGTATGATCCTTCTCCATATGTTCATATGATAATCTCTGTTACCTCTGACAAATCTTAATTCAGATGTCACCTTCTCAGTGAAGCTTATTCTGGCCACTCTATCTAACATTTACAAGTACCACTACCCAGCTCAGTGCTCCCGAACATTACTATTCTCTACTTTTCTTCTTTCATTATAGCTTACTACTTTCCATCTTATTATATAAATTACTTCATTTTTCTCTTATCTGTTTCCTTTTCATCCTATTAGAAATTAAGCTCCAGAAGGAATTGAGATCCTTGTTTTCACTGATATAACCCAAGAACCTGAAAATGTGCCTGGGCGTATATTATTGAATGAACAAATGAGCCAGCTGCTCTTCTCAGAGAACATGTAATGGGAGTCCAGTGGGTAGATATTATTTATTTTGTTATGATAAGTAGTTTTTTTAAATTGTGGTAAAATATACGTAACATAAATTTTGGCATTTTAACCTTTTTTAAATGTACAGTTCAAGGGCATTAAGTACATTCACATTGTTGTGCAATCATCACCACCATCCATCTCAAAAACTTTTTTCATATTCCAGAACTGAAATTCTATATCCATTAGATAATTCCCTATTCTCCCTCTCACCAAACCCTAACAACCATCATTACTACTCTGTATACTTATATAAGTGGAATCATAAAGTATTTGTCTTTTGATGATTGACTTATTTCATTTACCCTAATGTTCTCAAGGTTCATCCACATAGTAGAATGTATCTGAATTTTTTACCTTTTTTAGGCTTAATAATAGTCTATTGTATGTATATACTGCATTTTGTTTATTTGTTCATTCATTAATGGACACTTAGTTGCCCACATTTTGTCTATGTGCATAATGTTGCTGTGAATGTGTGGGTACAGATATCTGTTTGAGTCCCTGCTTTCAATTCTTTTGGGTATAATTCTAAAAGTAGAATTGCTGGATCACAGGGTAATGCTGTTTTTAGTTTTTTGAGAAACGATCATACTATTCTCCACAACAGCCATACTATTTTATACTCCAACCAACAGTTCACAGTGGTTCCAGTGTCTCCACATCTTTGCCAACCCTTACTATTTTCTGTTTTATTATAATAGGCATCCTAATGGGTGTGAAGTGGTATTTATTGCTTTGATTTGTATTTCCCTAATGATTAGTATGTTGTGCATTTTTTAATATGCTTATTGGCTATTTGTATATCTTCTGTGGAGAAATATCTATTCAAGTCCTCTGCCCATTTCTAAATCAGGTTGTTTTTTGTTGAATTTTTTATATATCCTAGATATTAACCCCTTATCAGATAAATGATTTGCAAATATTTTGTCCCATCCCATGGGTTACCTTTTCATTCTGTTAATACTGTCCACTGGTGAACAAAAGTTTTTAATTTTCATGTAGCTCTTTTTATCTATTGTGTTGTTGTTGCCTTTGCTTTTAGTGTTATAACCAAGAAAGCATTGCTAAATCCAGTGTCAGGAAGCATTTCCCCTATAAGTTTTATAGTTTTAGCTCTTAAATTTAGGTATTTAATCCATTTTGAGTTAATTTTTGTATATGGTATGAGGTAAGAGTCCAACTTCATTAATTTGCATATGGATATTCAGTTTTCCCATCACCTTTTCTTGTAAAGACCGTCCTTTTTCCATTGTTTGTTCTTGGCACATTTGTTGAAAATCATTTGACCATATATGTGAGGGTTTGTTTCTGGATTCTGGATTCTGTTCCATTGATCTATATGGTCTATATTTATGCAGTTCCTCACTGTTTTAATTACTGTAGCTTTGAAATAAAATTTGAAATCAGAAAGTTTGACTACCAACTTCGTTGTTCCTTTTTAAGACTGCTTTGGGCCAGGCACAGTGGCTCA